GTTTTTCAAATGCATTAAATTTTTCTGCCGATAAAATTCTGTCTAAGCAAATTATACATTTGTAGAAATGTACGCTTAATTTCTTGATAATACAAAATTATATACATTTTATAAAAATCAATTTTTAAATAATGCCATGATTAAATAGTGTGCGATAATGACAGTTACAATTTAATAATTGTTAAATGTCTTATCATAATACACATACACGTACAGATTTTGTTAAATACTTTTATGTTTCAATTAGCATGTTTTTGATTGAGAATAATTATTTATACTAATATAATAATATACATATATTATTTTGTATAATGATTTATCTGAACCTGAAGATTTATCTGAAATGATTTTAAATATATTTCTATCCAGGCTTTTTTATGCTAGATAAATGATAATTTCTTGTAGAAAATAGAGCTACGTATTATCGTAGACATGATTTTGTTGAGAATAAAGAGTCAGTACTATTAGAAGATATTTATAATTTAAGAAAATAAAAATTTACAATGTTCTAAAATATGTCTTATATTTCATCCAATGGACAACATGCCATTTGTAAATTTTGCCTTTTCTGATTAATCATTTGTTTCGTAAATATATTATGCGCTTTATTGAAATAATTAAGATAGTAACAGAAATGTTGTTAATAAAATAATTAGTTGATGAACAAGGTATATGTTTTACATCTATGTAAAATAAATTTTAAAAATAAATGATGAATTCACGTCGATTAGAGCGTATTAGTAGGTAGATGTAAGATAGATAGATAATATCAAGCTTACAACTGACAACATAAAATTCCAAACGAAAATAACTCGAAAGTTGGTGTAATAATGTGAAAAATAAGAGTTTGTCGAAATATTTGTTAATTTACATCATTTTGAGAACGTGTCGATACGGCTTAGTAGGCAAAAAATGACAAATTATCACCGATAACACAATATGTATTCCATGTGGTATGCATATTCTTTCTTCGATAAATGCTCCGTAATGCTAAGTACATTATAAATTAAATTATTGAGATT